GTCCATGAACGCCTGGCCGAGAGAGCGACAGATGCAGAGCAACAGAATGGGCGTCGCTGCCGCCCGGACGAACAACAGGAACTGGCCAATCAGAGCGAGGAGAGCCCGCGTGGCCACGCCCACCTCCACGCCCGAGTAAGCCAGAACGAAGTTCCAGACGTTTTCCGGCAAACTGCAAATGGCGTAAACGGACGCCAGTGCCACCACTGTGCGGGTCAGCTGACGCTCTCGCCGCTGCTTCTTCTTCGGAGACGAAGATGCGGAAGACGACGAAGACGACGGACGAATGCTCTTGGCGTTCTCGTCCGCGACGTGTCGCGTGAGCAGCTGACACGCGCCGGTGAACAGCAGCGGCAAGCAAAAGAAACATCCGAAGGTCCACCACATTCTGGCCTGACGGTACGTCAGCACCAGCGAGTACAGCGTCTCCGGCAGCGTCACGGATGGCTGCTGACCGCACGAGTCCACCGGCAGACCCGTCCGCGGAGACACCTCCTGCTCCAGACGCCACATCAGCAGCTCCGGAGCGGCCAGAACCAGAGATCCCACCCAGATCACCGACAGCTTGGCCAGGATGGACTGACAGGACTCCACCTGCTGCGGCCGCGGCTGAACGCTGGTCACCGCGTGGAAGCGGTCGATGCTGAGCGCGCACAGAGTAAACGTGGTCACGCCGAGAGACGTCACCTGAAAGACACGTCAACAAACACTCGTCAGACTGACACGAAATCACATGACTATGACTACACTTACCTATGGTACAATACAGTTAACTATTGTAGTAGCCTACTACACTTTTGAGCAGAGCATTGTAAAATTTTGTTTTTTTACATGTACCATAGTAAAACTTTTTTTACAGATAAAAGGTCATTCTTTGTTTTCGGATATGTACCATGGTAAAACTATATTTTTTTACATTTACCATGGTGATATTGTTTCTTTTGACATCTACTATGATAAAACCATGTTTTTTACATTTACCATGGTGATACATTTTTTGGGGCATTTACCATGATGAAACCATGTTTTATGGACATGTATAAAGGTAAAACGTATAGTTATGGTCCATTTTCTTTAATGGATGTCTACTAAGGTGGCGTTATGTTTTTTTAGACATTTACCATGG